CAGGACGACGATCACAGCCAGAGTCAACACCGAGTTCCACCAGAAATATTTATAGACAGTCTGGTGAGCGTCTGTTCAAAGGGCTGRCATGCCCTATATGACCTCTATTGCAYAGCAGCAGAACCAAGGACATGCGGCACARCATGTGTTTACTAGTCCTAGCCGGTTGGCATGGTGACTGTGACCCCAGTGCTTCGTCCAGGGCCCTTCAGAGGCTTCGCCCGTCTCCCACCAGCTTATTGCCTAGGAAGAATGTCAACTCTCAAGGTTGAGCGCTCGCGACACCTCACACCGAGAGGACTCTCAAGACAGAACTCACTTCCTCCCGGTAAGAAGTAATAGAGAGGGTAGATAAGGAAGAGAGCAACGTACCTTATAATGCTGCCCCCAACCACAAATTTCTCACCGACAACCTGATGTGCATTTATGATGACTGGTCTTTGCCTCGGCACAACCAACAGCAGAATGCAGTTCCACCTCGGCTTAAATGCCACATCAGCGAGCTCTCATCATCCAGCGTACACCCCTAATGTCACCACATAGCTTCCTGGCGTGCCCACACGACCCTGGGCCGCCTATCACTCAACGCCCAAGCCTTATTAGCACCAAACAGCTATTGAGAAGAGTCAATGAAGTGCAGTTTGAACCAGCTCCGATACCAAATTGCAAGGAAAATGAGCGATAGCGAGATGACAATGTCCAGAATGCACAATCACATTGAAGGCTAGATAGTATCACAGCGTCCAGAAAGTAGAAATGCACCAATATAACACCAATGAAGAATTGTAACACTGAAAACCAATGTCAATGAGAACTTGCTCTCGCCACCACCAACATGAGTGTCCATGCCCTATCTCCCTACTTGGCGCTCGTCACCCAGCCTACTTCCTACACAGCTACAGTTTGCCTACTAATTGACAATGCAACTGTTGATGTCAGCAGCTCACGAAGTACTTGAAGATGTCGCCCAATGCAGACCATCGCCAATACCAGGTATGTGCCCTCACATCATCCTCATCATCATCCTTCTCTCTCTTCCTTGACTTACTCCCACGTCTTCCCTCTGTACACCCGAAGACCACCCCTGCGCCTCACTGTAGTCCAAGCCCATCCAGCTACTAAGCCGGTTGCTTGCTTGGTGAATGCACTAGAAAAAAGTGGGAAAAGATCACCTCGCCTAACTTCTCCTGGGGCCAAGTCCCACTATAGCAGCGTTGAGTTACCTCAACGCCTGAATGTGGATGAGTTTGTGGAGCTGTGCAGAAATGGTGTTGAGTTTCCTCAAAAGCACATCTCCGCAAACACGTCCAGATTCAGGGGTTGACAAAACTCAACTCTGCTAGTGGGACTTGGCCCCTGGAGTTCTCCTCTTTTTTCTTTCTCCGTTTTTTTACATAATTCGAATTCTTTCCGCTATCCAGCAACCTAGCTCAGTTGGTAAGGCACGCAAGTGGCATTCAGGAGGTCTTGTGTTCAATCCCCATTGGCCTCATGCACCTTCCTGGGCATGCTTGCCGCCTGCCACCTAGAGATTTGCCGTTCGTCCCCCGGAGTGGCATTGAGCAGAGACTGCTGATGTTCATAGGGGGAGGGGACCGGAGGGGAGTGACTGGCCCATCGAAGAAGCTCGGTCCTGATGCTACCGGCTGACCCCTGGCCCGTATCTCCCACCTAGCAGGTGCCCTCAGAGTGGCATCGAGCAGAGACTGTTGATGTTCATAGGGGGAGGGGAACACAGTGACTGGCCCATTGAAGAAGCTCGGTTCTGATGCTACGGGCTGACCGCTGGCCGGTATCGCCCACCTAGAAGGTGCCCCCAGAGTGGCATTGAGCAGAGACTGCTGATGTTCATAGGGGGAGGGGACCACAGTGCCTGGTCCATCGAAGAAGCTCGGTCCTGATGGACTGTGACGCCCAACCTCACGCCCGACGCGACTTCCTGATCGGAGTGGGATGGGGGCCTGGAAGTGCGAAGAGGGGTGTGCTAAGGATTTTTGGGAAAGTGGGGGTTGAAGTCCCAGGTCGGAACTGGGATCTTCTGTGGCCGAGTTCAAGGGTAGTGGGCGAATACTGCCGTAGGGCAGGACAAGCACGCAGTTACTGCCTATCTCACCGCTTCGGGTTTGATGGGGATCACCGGGGTGCGGGGGACTGCCGCGCGTCCTGCCTGGGGACTCGAAAGGGGGTCGATTGTTGGCCACGCCGCGGGTTATGGGCGCTCTGGTCAAAGCGAGGAGCACGCGGGTGACGCCTGAGTAAACACTCTCGGCACGGTTCAGGCCAATACGCGGCTATGACCCGCCAGGGCACCACTGTGAGCTGGTGATATGGGAGGAGAACACGAAAGGGAGGGTAATTAGTGGCGACAACCACGAATCTGGGAGAGGTGTAATATTGTGTGTAATCCGGTTCGGGATAGTCTGCTCCGTGCGGATTGTTGGTTATCGCCCGATGAAATTCCCGCTCGCACACTTGGTTTCTCGTGTAATTCGGGAATTCCGGATACGCTCCTTGCGTGCAATAGTACTCCCGGCGCGATTCCTGAATCCAGGGCTCAAAGTATTCCCTATCCCAAGATGAGCTAGAGCCTGAGGACCGTGTCATCGTTGCGTGCGGTTCTCAGACATGGGTTCTCGGATATGCTCGACGTAATTTTTGGGTCGGGATGATGACGTCGATTACGAACTCAAACAGACAATCTGCACATACATCCATCCTAATGATAGCGGGCAACTAATTCCGTCTACACATCACGATGCAATCAAAACTTCACGAGGTTGTGAGCAACTAATCCCATACATTAGCGAGGCGCAAGAGGAAACGATGCGCATTCCATCCATTCATCCATGTCGACAAAAAGGCAATCAAAAGAGAAGGAAATGCAGGATGCGCCAATTCAGGCGAAAACCAAAACAGAGATATCGAATCAAAGGATAGGGGGCAGTCGCCCAGTCAAAATTTATGTACACAGAAGAGAGGGGAAGAGATAAGAAACTGCAAACCCATGTCCCACAACTCTCTCTCTCTCTCTCTCTCTCTCTCTCTCTCTCTCTCTCTCTCTCTCTCTCTCTCTCTCTCCGATGCGGACAGTCCGTCGTCGCGCACCAACC